CTTCATGGGTAACCAACTCGACGGAATACAGCGCCTGTGAAACAATAGAATCATCCCAACAAGGAATCCCAAGACATCAAAGCACATACGAGCCATAAAGGCAGAGGAAAAATTGTCGTATCCTAAACGTATGATAGCTTGTTGGTAATCGGGTCTCAAGATGATATTAACGATAGCAAGAGGATCGACATGGCTCAAAGTGGGCAATCAAAGAAAGGGATGAGTAATCCCTATAAGGTAAAGGTAGTCGGGTCAGGGTACCACATACCCGTCATCCCAAGCCACTAGAATCTTAAGTTTATTTGGTCATTAAGGTAGTCGATTCAACACTTCTGGAGATTCCCAGTCAGCAATCCGTGAATTGTGTCGTCCGCATGGAACTCGATGGCCCTAAGGTCAAAGGAACGAAACTTTATCTTATGATTATCACATGAATCTCCGAGAGGTGGGACTTATACCCACCGAAGTTGTGAGGATGTCATTAGAAAGAAGAGAAATGAAGGTTCAGGTACAAAGAGCTTACACCCCATCTGGGTCAGGAAACCTTATAACGAGGTAAGCGTACTAGATATCCTCCTAAGCAGAAATCTTTTAACATAACATGTTATCGCTTGAATTGTGTCAATGAATTAAAGAAGATATTACTCATCACATGGAAATAAAAGTTATTTTATCTTAAAACAAAATTTCCTACTCATGTCACTATTTCATATCAAAAGGAAAGAGTAAAGAAAACTACTCACGAAGCATAGATAAAATACAACATAAAACTTCACTTAATCAATGTAAATTCCATAGAAAATATTTACAATAATTATAAGATAATGAAGAACACAATACTTAGTTTTTCCCTCTGAAAAAAAGAAGTAATCTCTCAAACAAAGCCTCTTGCCGATCCATGCAATGCTCGTACATTTTCTTACACACATTTCTTAAAATCTTTAACCAATCTCTTCAGAAAAGTTAGAAATCTACATTCATATTTCTATCGATGACCTCTGGACGTTCTTGGAGTTTTTAATAGTTTAAAATGTCAAAAGGTGTCTTCTCAAGTCCCAAAAGGTGCCTTCCCAAGTTCCAAAAGTTGCCTTATACACTCCATGGGTCGTCTAGATTTGTCCACAACCGTTTCAGGCACCAAGGCGCCAGAATTAGCGCCTAGGCGCCACTTTCTGATGCTTGGGGGCTACCCCTGCTGGCTGCACCCCATTTTGCTCCATTTTGTCCAGTTTCAGCTCCAATCTGCTTCAAGTGTTATACCTACAAAATTAACATGAAAATAATTTTTTTTAAAGTGAATTTTCTTTAAAAAATATGTTTTAAATGTGAAGGGAATTAAGCATAAAAAAACATATCAAAATGCGTCATGTCAGAATTTTCTTCCTTCCTCCATTTGACTCCAAATTACACCATTTTCGTTCCATTTTCTCCAAAATTTTATTTCTTGCACGTGTAATCTAAAACACATAAAATATTTTTCATTAAAGTGCACCATCATTAAAAATGAGAATATATATATAATTTTTAGGCGCGTCATTCACCTAGGATGGATTTTGAAAATGGGTTGATCTTACACATAATCTAGTTTGCTAAATGTGTACTTTTAAAATTATGATGAATATAATAAGTTCAAAAAAATATTTTTTTTTAGTTTTAAAATAAGGGTCATTGAAGACAGACTCGTGACATGCAGGGTGACACAAGTTAGATCCCATGGATCTTTCAATCCTGATGCTTCAACTAGCATTGCTCGTCGAGATCGATAGGGAAAGTGATGCTCATTAAGGCACAACGACCAACATGGAGTCACTCGCCCATCGATCTTAACTCGCTATCCATGCAAACATGCAAATGCAAATGTGAATAATCACACACAAAAGTGGTGAGAGTGAGTGTATTGTAGTGGTAGTGACTTAGAAAAGTAGGTGTATCGTGGAGGCGGTGGCCTAAATAATGGGTGTGTCGCGGAGTCAGTGACCCGAAAGAGTGGTTTTTCGTGGGGGAAACGACCCAAAGGATGAGTGTGGAGGCAGTGACCCAAAAGAGTGGGTGTGTCATGGAGGTAGCTACCCAAATGATAGGTGTGTTCTGGAGGCAGTGATCCAAAAGAGTGGGTGTGTCATGGAGGTAGCGACCTGAAGAATGAGTGTGTCATTAAGGCAGTAACCTGAAAGGGTGGATGTGTCGTTGAGGTAACGACCCAAATGATGGGTGAGTCGTGGAGACAGTGATCCAGAGGGAGACCTACAACAGTCCGATGCAGTGTCGTAAGAAGAGAAGGTGAAGTAATTCTCACCAGGTAGAATTGCATACCAGGTGGTGTGCAAGCCGTCTTGTCACATGATGTGTGAATGTGAGAAATAAGTGCAAGAGGACAAAACAAAAACTCAAATGCACACAACTTTAATCATAAAACTCATAAACATGCAAAATGCCAAGCAAGACAATCATGCAAAGGTGCAGAAATGTACGTGCAAACCACTTGTGACGTGATGCTAAGTGACATTAGGATGCCACGAAGGAGATGTAGAGTGATGTGTTGTTGGGAGGCACAAGCACTTGTCGCGAGCATTTGAGGGTATATGCTCGAAGATGCACAACAAGGGTGCTGGTGATGAATGTGCTAATGCAAAGTCATATAATCAATACTAATGCACACACAAAACACACATTATGCAAGTGACATCGGCTATTTGACCCGCTTCCGACAATTTCAACCCCTTGAAGGAAGTTTGAAAGCGCCTGGGAAATTGTGACCTGCTTAGGTTAGGGCTATGGCTAATCACGAAAAAATCACCCAGCTTCATAAGGGATTGACCACGAATGTGATTCTTAACCTAACGCTTCCTCTAGGAAATAATTGGTCAATCCATAGACGTGCGGTCATGCCAACTAGTGCTGGACGGTCAACGTGCCTAACGTAGGTGACCAAAACATATGGCAACATCACAAAGTTGACCAATCAAAAAGATTACAGTTGTGTCTAAACCTAGCAAAATCTACTCCTAGGGGTGACTAATAAATAAAAAACAAAAGGTTTAGGGAAACTTACCTCTACGGTGGTTGATCGAAGTCTCGTGCTCGTGTTCCAGATGAAACTCTCATAACGGTAGCAGAGAAGCCCACCCAAGTCCTTCCCCAAAGTAATGAGGAAGCTCTCCTCACTGGAGAGATCGCTGGAACTCACAAGAGTTTCACCTTCACCAACATAGAATGAAGTTCTCCTTCCAAAAGGAGAGACTGTGAAATTTCCGGAGTCACCATTCCGAAAGATTAAGATTTCATAGTTGTACTCCCTGGATATTTCATCGGAGAAGAGAACGAGAACGCCGAAGAAGAAGAAAAACAGTGATGCAGAATAAGAAGGAGAGGAAGGAAACCAACTCCTTAGCTCTCTCCTTGAGGAAGATGAAGAGTCTTCTTCAAATCCTCTTTGCTCCAAGAGATTATCTCCAAGGCACCCCCCGAGATCTCCAAGAGGAAGATGAAGCGCTCTCTTATGCTCTCTCAAGCTCTCCTAACCGACATTGAAACTAAAATGAAGTGGAGATCAGTCATGAAGATGAAGAGAGCTTAAACGAACCTCCCCGTGCAAATTCCAAAAATATCACTTTGATTAGACCCCATGCACATCTAAATTAGGACATGCTAAATTAGGCTAAACCAAAGACATTATCCCCCATTCACATCTCGTCAAGCTCAAGGAGATCACTGCAATTCAGACTCATGAGGGGTGCATTGGGTCAAATCGGCCCCAAAAACCAACTTTTTGCGATCTAAAACTGAACTGGCGCCTAGGCACCACAACCCTGGCGCATATACGCCACCCAGGTGGCGCCTACTTTCTCGTGTATCGGGAAAGACCTGTTTTGAGCTGTTTTGGGAGCCTATGCGGTCAGGACTGGTGTCGAGCACCCGGTTTTGCACCTAGGCGCCTAACTTTCAAGGCTCGGTTTTGACCATCCGAGAAGGCATTTTGGGTGCGTAGGTGTTGGTCTGGCCTCGAAAATCCCGATTTACACCGGGAGCACCTAACTTAGAATTTTCTCGATCTAAAAGCTATAAGAGACACAAATGAGTAAACTATGGAGCCCTAACCTAAAAAAAATGATAGGAGAATGTGTCTCCAACGGCGCTCGAGACTACGACGCGGGTAGGGTGTTCCAAACCCAATTTTCTCGTGTTGCGAATAGGAGGGCTCTGTGACTTCCCTTAGTCTCGGGGAGGCTTTGAATGGATACGGAGAAACCTTTAAGCACCAGAGTGGACATCAAACACGACCAATATCTTGGGTGAGTCCATTCAACTGCAGGTTCTCCTGGGTAATGTCGAATCATCGCAAACCCTCACTTCAAGCTCTAAACATGCATTAGAGGTATTAGATGGGTGTCCTGAGCTACATGCCGCTATAAATGGGCAGTGGATCGTCCTGAGCCAGTCGAACAGACACCCTACACATAACATCAAAAATTGACACCAACAGTCCATTCAAGAAAGATGGTGATAAGTAAGATTAGGCACTTTGTCAGGTGAGCTCGATTCAACTGCTTTGGCAAGTGGGCTTGATTCAGCCACTTCAACATATGGGCTTGATTCATCTACTTCAGCAAATGAGCCACTTCCGTATGTAGGCTCTATTCATCAAGACAAAAAATCAATCAAAATTTTCATATATTTCTTATTTGTATATGTGTTTCTATATATATATATATATATATATAT